ATATTTCTAATTGCAGAGTATGGTATGGGAAGCGAGGCTTCAACTCATGGTGATGTGTACAGTTATGGAATACTCTTATTGGAGATGTTTACGGGGAAGAGTCCAACCAATGAGATGTTTAATGGCGATTTGAATCTTCATGATTTTGTTAAGGCAGCTATCCCTGAACGAGTCATTGAAATAGTGGATCCAGTTCTTCTTTAGGAAACAGAAGAAGGACAGACAAGCCTAAGAAGTCACATTGTTCGAGAGTGCTTGATTTCGATATTTGGAATTGGAGTCATTTGCTCGTCAAGGTCGCCGAGTGAAAGGACGAACATGGATGGTGTTATAGCCCAATTGCATTCTATCAAGAACAAACTTCTACAAACTCCAACACAGGGTCAGAGGCAACTGTAACTGTATGAGTAATTTTCTTGCATTTTATAATTAAATGTCCTATACGACTTTAGAATAAGGTTTGTTAAACAATGTTGAACTCGCACTATGTTATAAATGGATGTAATTTTATTTTTTTACTCATAGAATAAATAAATCTTTGCCGTCATTGTTTGCCCTTGGAAGGTAATTTTTCAAATTTGTAGTTAGGATTTTGAAGTTAGATTAACTGAAATATAAACCAAGTTCTGAAATAAAGATTTTTTTTTTTTATAATAAAAATAATGTTTTTAAAATAATATTCTTTTCTAGAACAATTTTTTATCTTTCGCTCAAAATAGCTTTACCATTGGTTACAATGTAAGCAATGAAGGTTTACTGCACTTATTGTACGTATAAAATTTATTTGCTTGGAGTAAAAAGTTTGATTTTTGAAATCAATAACACTACGGACACCGAAATATTAGCACCAAATTTCTGTACCGGCCGACGTGGAACGCGTTTCTCCATTTCTTTATAATTTTTTTCTAGTGAACGGTCGTCCATCAAATTTGGACGGTCGTTCACTCACATGGACGCCCGTCCATATTATATGGACGGGCGTCCATATGCGAGGGACGGCCGTCCATGTTATATGGATAGGCGTCCATATACGAGGGATGGCCGTCCATATAATATGGACGGCCGTCCCTATTAAAATAAAATAAAAAAATTTGTAAAAGCTTAGGGACGACCGTCCATCCATTATGGACGGTCGTCCATTAATTTTGGACGGCCGTCCATGTTATATGGACGGGCGTCCATATGCGAGGGACGGCTGTCCATATAATATGGACGGCCGTCCCTATTAAAATAAAATAAAAAAATTTGTAAAAGCTTAGGGACGGCCGTCCATTAATTTTGGACGGGCGTCCACAAATAATGGACGCCTATCTTTCACCCAAATATGAAAAAAAAAAAATTTCCATTATGGACGGTCGTTCACTCACATGGACGCCTATCCATATTATATGGACGGGGGTCCATATACCAGGGACGGGCGTCCCTATTTAAAGGACGCCCGTCCATAAGTAAAATGGAATAATTTTTTTTTATAAAAATTAGGGACGGCCGTTTATCCGTTATGGACGGCCGTCCAAAATGAAGGGACGGACGTCCGTAAATAAGGGACGCCTGTCCTTAACCAAAAATATGAAAATAAAAAAAGAAAAAAATTTGGGGACGGCCGTCCATAAATTTTGGACGGGCGTCCCTTAAGTTTGGACGGCCGTCCATTCTTAATGAACGCCCGTCCATACTTAAAAAAAAAAAAAAAAATTCTAAATAGTAAACACCTCTTCTTCTTCGCCATCTCCTCTCTTTTTCTGCATCTTCATTCCCCATCTTCTTCGCCTTCTGAATTGCTTAGGAACCCATTCTTCGACATCAAATGCACCTGAAAAATTCAAGTTCATATGGTTTCCTTACATAAAGAATCTACTTCCTCTATAATAAGCAGCATGGAATTCCTATTAGCATATCTTTGAGATATTGTCAACGGAAATGGACTTGCAACTAAGGACCAGTAGCCCCAACTTTATCTTATCACATATAACAGAGTGAGACATGGATGCTTACTGGTGTCAGAGGTTTGATTGGTTCATGCAATTCAAGATCAACAGCACCATGATCCAAGTAAACATAGCAGACTCCCTCCATCACCTTTTCTGGAAATGTTTGAGCAAATATTTTATTTTGCTCTGCAAGGTGTTTCAGTTTAGCCTAGCTCATGCTCCATTCGTCTTTGATACTCCAAGGTTTCTTCAAGCTTTCTTTCCTCAGCTTCAAGCTCAATTTTACATCTAAATTCCTCTTCCAGGAGTTTAAGTCATCACCATTCACAAAAACACCAGTCTCTGAATCTGGATGATCACCATCAGATTCTAGATATGAACTGCACTAAGCCATGAATTCAATATATTAACAATAAACCCCCTCCCAGTATAGCATCTATTTACAAAAAATGGTGGCATGTAATAGAAAGAGTGAGGGCATATGTGCAAAGAAAGAGCAAAAGGAAGAATACACCCGCTCAAACGTCTCATCATGAACCATATCATGCTGATTACCACCAACAGACTGAAAAATACGAAAATATTAGACCTGCATCATGGATTTTGTACGTACAAACAAAAGAAAACCACAAACTTGAAACCTTTGAATCCTTGGTTTTCCTGAAATCTTTGTTTCTTTTTTTATCCTTTGTCTTATCATGTGTATGCTTCGAGTTATCACTACCTCCTCGGGCACCCTTCTTAGAATCAAGTGCAAGTTCTGCTAAAAATGCTTCCCTTGCAGCATCAGACTTCTCTGTGGCATCTTTCTCTGCAAGATCCTCCAAATTAATCGAGTTCCCAGCCCCAAAAAATTTAACCAAGTTAGGCTTTTGCCATCTATCAGCTATGTGTTGCAGTAGATATCCGTACTCCAAAGCACACTATTCGTACTTATCATTTCAAGTCTTATATTGTTTCATCTTCTATTGATTCTAGTGTGGAAGGAAATCCGGATATTGTTGTTACAGTTTTATACAAAGAAAAGAACAAGTTTATTTTTCCATCAGTAGCAGCAGTCGTTTCAACTTCTGTCCTTGCAACTGCAATGGCTATTTTATGGGGCTTTAAGAGAAGGAAAGAAGGTATGAACACCGCTAACCTTATATATTGACTCAGAAATAAGAATTTCTAGCACTGCATGCGCACACAGAGAATTGCCAATGGTATCTTAAGCTGTAAGGAGGAAATCTGAGAGGACTAGTATACACTAACTCGTCCACGAAACAATTTTTCTTATATTTATTTTCTTTTCTTAATCAAGTCAGAATCATTAAATCTTATATTTATGTTCAATGAAATGAGAAACTAATTTTTTTATTTTTTTTTAATTGCAGTAGAGAAATGGTGGTTATCGTTGATTATATTAAGAGAAGCTCTATTGGTTCTCTTGTTCTGCTACTTATGCTATTCGGTATGGAAAAAACGCAAGGCTAAAGGTATGACCAGCTGGAAAAAACAAATATGATTATAAATTCTGAATCATGCATGGTGATTAGAATGGGTTCCCAGGACCCAAGCAATTCAGAAGGCGAAGAAGATGGGGAATGAAGATGAAGAAAAAGAGAGGAGATGGCGAAGAAGAAGAGGTGTTTACTGTTTAGAATTTTTTTTTTTAAGTATGGACGGGCGTCCATTAAGAATGGACGGCCGTCCAAACTTAATGGACGGCCGTCCATAATGGATGGACGGTCGTCCCTAAGTTTTTACAAATAACATGGACGGCCGTCCCTCGCATATGGACGCCCGTCCATATAACATGGACGGGCGTCCATGTGAGTGAACGGCTGTCCAAATTTGATGGACGACCATTCACTAGAAAAAAATTATAAAGAAATGGAAAAACGCGTTCCACGTCGACCGATACAGAAATTCGGTGCTAATATTTCAATGTCCGTAGTGTTATTGCTTTGAAATAGGGTACACCCTGAAGAGATCAATTCAAATGTAAGATGACCGAGGTTCGCGTGGTTTGATTGTGCCGAATCTTAGAAGTATTAACTATTAACTATTTGGTGAGTTTGATAATCAATGCTATTGATTTGTGATCTAAAAGTCGATAGAGATTTCGATAATTTTAATGTACATAAGATCATATAATTAAAATAACAAGAAGAATTAAAGAATTGCAATTGAAAATGACCATTTAGCTTATAATGAACATTTATATTTTGGTGGAAGTTCTGAACTTTCTCTGGAACAGAAATTTTAATTCAACAATCATTAACCAATATTAAGTGCATAACTTGTTTGACGGTATGTGCATTTGCCTGGCTGTGTGTGCATCTGTCTGGCTTTTGATAAAAGTTCATACAATTCAGAGTTATTCGTGATCCTCTTAATGGCGTCTTATTTTTTCTTGGAAAATATGCATACTGCATACAGGAGAAAAAAAAAAATCTTCTAATGAATAATCTTAAGTACTTAACGTTATAAACTTTTTTTTTTTTTTTTTTGGTCTCAATACTTGCTATTCTAAGTCCCTTAAAAATCAGTTTCGCACGATTTCTGAGCTGCTGGTATTAATTTAACCACAGAATAGTATGAAGTATGAACTAACGATTTCCAATAAGAAAGGTGGATGCATGGAAAATGCTATGATCCCACTGTGCATGCAAGGGACGAATGTTAAATTAAGGAGACATCACTTCTGCAATCCACAAATGATTTGATCATGTCACCTAATTCTCTATTTTCAACATTCCCATTCACAGAAATGAAAGCTTGACCTGCAATGGATTCCCTAATAGATTCTGTTTTGGAAAGAAAAAGAAGGTATTGAGAAAATAAATAGTACCAAAGAAGCTGCATCTAAAGAAAGACTGAAATGTGCTCTTTTTATTCTTTCTACATTCCTTTATCCAAACATGTTGCAATTGAGATTCAGCCATCTCCCACCAAGCATCAGCAATCAATGAGTGGCTTGTCGTTTTTCTAATTCCCAATTTGAGCTTTCTGGTTTATCAAAAAACTTCCCCCAACCAAAAAAAAAAAAAAAAAAAAGAAAATAAAGAAGGGGTTTTAACTTACCCACTGTAATTATCAATTATGAACCCCGGCGACACTCCAGCTGCTTGGTATTCTCTAGTAGTACCTGCCAAGCAATTCAATCAATAATCCTAACAATTCATGCAAGTAATAGTCAAGTACGTTGTTTAGGGAATTAATGAAGCAAATCAACATATGAATACCATTAGCAATAATTATAACACACAGGTCCCAGAAGACAATCAAACTAAATTCACAAAATCAAGACAACAAAAATTATGAACAGAAAAAATAAGTTTTTACTTCTCGAATATAATTTGCTACTGCCTTGCAGCCTTCAGTAGCAAGTTGCATGACATCTTCAAATGTATCAGTTGGTAACTTAGCATCCATCTGTGTCAGGAAAACATCAGAAATGAGAGCTCTAGGAATAATTTTTTTTCCAAATAACTTGAAACCTCTGATAATCAACATATGCATAAACCTCAATGATGAGATAATAACGGTACAAGAAACAAAGGATACAATGTCAACAGTTAAGATTACATTCCACACTTCAAAAACATTACAAAACTGTGAGAGAAACTAGAATGACAAAAGTGTTCAAAAGAACTTGAACCAGAACCGATATATCTTGTTCAACTAATTGTGATTAATAGAAGTATGTTCTGCTTTAGTTTGAAATTATTTTACCACCAGCTAGCGACACAACATCAATCATTCATCAACGGACACCAAATTCCTTAAAGATCTGACATGACAGCCTGAGAGAAGGGTTTGGCCTAAACCTGGCTAAAAGAGATTCCGCAATTACAGAGAAAAGAAAGAGAAAAGATTCTAGCAGAGAGACTTAAATTCACGCCATCTGAAAAAGATCAAATGCTAATAACTGGCATGGTTTTAAACGACTGTAGCATAAAGGAAGCACCTTCTTTCTTTTATTTGATTACCATGTGAACCAGGGTTTGTGATTGGGAGTTTGTCAAACAAATTTCAAGAAAGGATCAACATTCAGTTCTTTGCAACCACATGCTGTATAAATGAAACCCAACGGGTTGATCGAGAAAGATCTCTTGTTCTTGTTATAAGATCGTGTGATTGGACAGTACATGAACCCAACTCCATACATCTGAGATTTGAAACTATATTGCAAGACTCGAAAATTTCATGAGCACAGTCATAAACAAGAAAAGCAGAATTTTAGACAAAAACCTGAAGGAGAGTAACTTTGTCCAATGTAGGTAGAATGCCTACAGTGACATCAGGACCTCCAGCACTATCTTCAACATAATTCAAATCTGCCCACATCACAAATCTTCAGTATGGTAATCAAGTGTACAAAAATTAATACCATACCATATAATAACTAATTGAAAAACAAATCATACTGCTTCAAGAGAACGATGAGGAAAATGACCATACCAAGAAGAGGAGTACTATTGAGGTATCCAGCACTACAGGAAGTAACAATATCACGCATTGGAATCCCAGCATCTGCAAGAGCTAATGTTGCAGCATTAATACATGCAGATCGAGTTCCTACAGACAACAAGTCCCAAATCAACAAGAAATTCTTTCTTCTTTTTCATGGAAAATGAGCCCTAACACTAACACTTTAGCAGCTGTTTAGAATTAAATGAAACTGCTAGTCCTAAGCGATTTTTGCTGCCGATCAATAGAGAGGGTAGCAAACAATGTTCACATAGTCAATGCCACCCCAAGACTGATCAAGTTTGGGTTAATCCAGTTAAGGGTGGTGAAAAAGGGACAAAGAACTTAAGAGACCCAAAGAAAGAGGGCAAGGTGAGACAGGGTAAGACATTTGAAAGATTTACTACAGTTTAGAACTTTAGGAGAATATGTCAACTGTACTTCATATTAGTCTCTTCGACCTCTTTCATATACATAAATCAGCTCTTATGTCTGCTTATGTTTCTTTTTCAATGAAGAAAAATAAAGTAATAGAAATGGAAGTCTGCAAGTCCACCATCACCAATTGCGAGGCAAGGGTTACCTCATAGAAAGTCTACATGGAGCAACCACATTACCCCTTTAACTAATGAAATACACACTAGTTCACTAATAAACCAAGTACAATGAAATCTGAAATTATTTTTTCCAGTTTCCATTCCATTAGCTCAAAGTATATAAATTCACAGTCATATAGTTACGAATGAGTTACCTCCATCTGCTTGTAGAACTTGTACAAAAATATCTATCTGCAGATCAACAAATAAGTATTTAGAAAAAACCAATCCTGTTTAGGAACTAGAAAGGGTTCCCAGTGACCTGTAACATACCTGAGAACGAGGCATTAAATTGGTCAATATGCATGCTTCCATTGTCTGACGAATAACAAGAGATATCTCTGTTGATCGCCTAGATGTACCATGAAATCAGTCATGTATTGAACAACAAAATATACTCCTAAAATGATATTCATCAATTAAATTGTACAAAAAGCAAAGTAATTGTTCAAAACAAATCACAGATACATCAAAAAGCTCTAAAACTTAGTGCTAACAACAAGTTCCAAAACAAACACAAATGTCAATTCCTCCATGAGTAAAAATTCACTCTTTTTAGACTATTTTTCCAAAAACCCTTAAAATCAACCATCATTTAGGCAAACCCAGTGAACCTCAGATTAAAAAATTACAAGTCAAACTTAATCCATATTCCGGTGCATGTACAGTCAATTTACCACCCAATTCAATACATGCAAGCAAGTTGCATAATTGTAAATTAAGTTTTAACATATGAAAGACTATAAAGAATATGTTCCAACCTGTCACCCTTTGGTTTTCTCATACGATCTCCAGTACTAAAATTAGCCATGCTGTACTCACAGCGCACCTGAGAAATATACAAATACAGATGATCAGAGTTATTTAAATTAAGACATTAGAAGTTTTACTGAGAATGTTACCAATGCTTGGTCAGTAATTTGCTGGCTCCTATTTTGAACCTGAAAAACACAGTAAATTGCTTACAGAATGAGCATCACTTTTGACCTATTCACACACACAACACAAAGAGAGAGAGACAGAGAGAGACAGAGACAGAGAGACAGAGACAGAAGGGTACCTCTCTAGGACCATAGACAGCAGCAATGACTTTTGTGTTACCCATCTCAAACATAGCAGAACTAGAAATCATGAGGCAAAGTAAATTAAAATAGAAATTAATGTGGAAACAAATAATTAAAAGAAAAGGTGGTAAATTACCCATCTGCTTTGGCAACGACACCAATCTCAGCACATAGTTGCCTCATCTATGATTGTGAAAACAAATATAAAATTTAATATTGGAACAATTAGCATAAAAGGAACCAAATAACAAGAGAAGAGATTTATACTTCCATAGGGCGGCGACCATCTAATCGAAGTCCTTCAGGGCTTACATATTCCATCTCTATCAACTATGTGAAAGTGGAGACAGGATAGAACAATTGAGGATTAGTTTCTACTTCACAAAAAAACCTTTATCTGAGTTGTTACAATAGAAGCTTGAAGACCGCTATATGATCCAAATGAAAATTCTTTAATACAGATATTTCAGTTTCAAAGCAATGTTTTAATAACCAGCCCAGGATGAAACCCAGCAAAGTGGCCAGGTATCGGGTTGAACCAGTCCAACATGAAAAAAAAAAATCCTATGACAAAATAAAAAAAATGCAGATTGTAGTTCATTTCAACATGAAAAAAATCCAACATGAAAAAAAAAAATCCTATGACAAAATAAAAAAAATGCAGATTGTAGTTCATTTCAACATGAAAAAAATCCAACATGAAAAAAAAAAAATGCAGATTGCAGTCTTGCAAACTGCAAACTCCACATATTTACGAACTTACAAAACCAATATCCATCATTCTTATGCATTACAAACTTACAAAAATTGCATTACGAACTTGAACACTGTTCTAACACTCAACATCTATCATTCTGATGCACATATTTACTTGGACATGTTTTCTAATAGCAATTTATTAATTTATTAAATTTGTGTTGGGAAGAATAATAGTAAAACCATCTACATAGCCATAAGAAAAACCAATATCCAACAAAATTTCTCTGCATTGAAGTCTCTCTTCCATTCTACAATTCTAAGAGCTTCATTCACAACACTAATCTAACCAGCAGTCCATTCTCCTCGATTACTTTTCTGTTTGCTATAACTCTAAAAAAATCCAAAAAAAAAAAAAAAAAAATATCATCATTCATCAACATTATGAAATCATACTCAACACCATCGCAATTCTCCCAGTTAACAACATACATTATTACAAATTTTATTAAAAAAAAAAATATATATATATATATATATTACCTGGTTAAACCAACTCGTGGAGGCGACAAACGTCACAACAGGTTGCCGTTATCAAGCAGAGACTAAGGATTTCGAAGATTGAGAATCGAAAGGATTCTGTTTTGTTAATTTCACTCAAAGTTTAGTAAATTAGGATTCAAGAATCGTCCAAAGACGAAGGGTTTTGCAGATTGAGATTCGAAAGCAGACAAAGTGAAGATGAAATGAGACGGGTACCTCGTCGGACGGCGACTGCAGTGCTGCCGGCGGCGGTGGTCGATCGAAGAAAGCGACACTGGAAGAGAGGGGTTCGATGTCAATTGAAAATGGTACAGGGATTTAGAAAATTAGAATTGGTGAAGGGGAATAAGAGTTAACCCGGTTTTGGGTTAAAAGGTTGGACCGGACGTTGGCTACAATAACACCGGTCCAACCATTAGTTTTGGGGAATCTTTTTGCTTGAAAATTGAAGGCTTCGTTTGTTACGTTATTGGATAAAATTTATATTTTTTAATTTCTTGTAAATCTCTTTAAATTTATTAATTTAACTTAATACCTCTAAATATTTTTTTTATAAATTACAAAAACATTTCGATCACCCTCTAGCGGTGATGGCTGGCTATCCGTATTTAATGGATAGATTGTGGGTGTTTTTGTTAATTTTTAATATTTTATTATAAGGGTGTTTAGTAAATAAACAAACATAGGGGGTATTTTGTTAATTTCCAAATGCTACATCATAATACCCGTTCAATTTAACTTTTTTTCAAAATATTATTCTAAAAACTATCAGAATAATGAACCAAACGGACCCGAAATGTTACTTGTAAGAAGGTGAACTCATGTGAGGAGTGTGTTCAGAGGAGCAGGAGGTATTTGAGAGGGAGATTAGAATTTAGAAGGCTACGAGCCTTGTACCAACAGCAACCACCACCATCTTCTAGTCATCGACGCTCTAGCAGTAGAGACCAGTTTGCGAAGCTATCCTTCAATTAGTGTTTAAAATTTTAAATATTGTTTAGGAATCAATTAATTGCAATCATGTAGTAGGAGTGACCTACGTGCTTATGACTTTGTTTCCCAGGAAATCCGTGCAGCGGAAGATCTTGAATTTGAGACTTTCTACACCAAAAATATTCTTTTAAACGAGGGTTTTCGTGCTTGGATGGCGGCTCAAGATCAACCTCATGAAAACCTTAAAGTATTTCTATACGACAGTCCTATTTCCAAACAAGAAATATAACTAAAATTTTCTAGTGAAGTATCGTAGACGTCCAAAGATTTAGTTTAGATTTTTACAATACAAGATTTTCATGTTAGAAGTATGATAAGACATTTTCCTTAGATTTAATTATCTGCTTTTTAGATTTTTAATAATGTCTGTAATTTTTATCTTAGTGTTCCACTAAATAGGACTCTATCTAACAAATATTGATAACTTATAATCTTATATCAGATCTAACATGATTAAAAAATTTATAATCATTAAGAAATAATTGCTTATACTCTATGAAAATGAAACTCTTTAATGAGAAACAATAATGTTAGGTCCATAACCCAATCTTACAACTCTTGACATAACATCTTGTAATTAAGCTATCCAATTGCGAGTTGAGCAATTACGAACTGTCACGTAAAAGGTTGTGAGATATTATTACTGAATGAGAATTGAAAACTCATTTCAATGAGTCAATTGGGGTCATTTAATTGGTTGCCAACTTTGAATGAACTTAGACCAATAAACCAACGAGTAATACTATATTTACACTACTCTTTTACACCATTTTTATTACATCATGATGTGGCATATGTCACAATCACACAAATTCTATTATACTATTAAAAATTAAAAACAATTAAAAATTTATGTGGTTGTAACATATGACACGTCATGATGTAATGAAAATGGTATAAAAAAGTGGTGTAAATATAATATTAATCTGAACCAAATTTCTCCACAGACACGACAAGATATATTAGTAAAGTCATGTACAACGAGACAAGTCTTTGCCTCAAGTAAAATCTGCATTGATTAGAGCCATTGAACAATAAAAAATCTTATCATATTTTATGAGATTTTTTCTTCAAGAAATTAAGAATTTCAAAATTATATATATATATATACTGAATTTAGTCTGTTTTTATTTTCGTGTAGCATCTTAAAAGGATAAAATAAAATAAAAAATTCTACTTTATACAATTTTATTAACCTTTGGTCTTCCCTGTAATGTAACATCCAAGTTTAGCTCTTGTGTTGGACCCAAGTATCATTCACGGCATAGACCAAGATACCAATTTTCCTCACCATATAACATGGCAAGGAAGTTTTTAAGTCATTAGATCCATTGAAAAATAAAAAATCGTATTATATTTTATGAGATTTTTTTCTTCACTAAACTAATGTATGGTCCTAATTAAAGATCCACAAAGCCCTTTTACAATCAGCACTGATAGGTGGGTGGCAGACTGGCCATTTGCATTAGACTGCTTCAATATTTCTATGCACACTACATGACTTGTCGCCTTTGGTGAGTGCCTATAAGTTCATAGGCTGTGAAGCTATCTTGTCAAGTTGGGTTTTCTTAATTTTATAGTTCAATGCTGAGTCGAATAGTTTTTTGCTCAGTTAGCTTTTATCTCCTGCTTTTATTATGGTCAAGCCTGCTATCTTATGGTTAAGTTGCTTCTGCCAATTCTATGCTCGAAGGCAATGAAACTGATAGACCTGCATTGCTTGAATTCAAGGCTAAAGTTACTCATGATCCTCTTCAGGTTTTGAGCTCATGGAATGATTTCAATCACTTTTGTCAATGCGAGGGTGTTACATGCAGTCGGCGTCATCAAAGGGTTACTAGATTAGGTCTTCCTAATTCAAAATTGGAGGGGTCTCTATTACCATATATTGGAAATCTGACTTTTCTTAGAGTTTTGAATCTCAATGACAACAGCTTCCACAATGAAATCCCTCACAAGTTTGGCTATTTGTTTAGGTTATAATATCTAGGCTTGGAAAATAATTCATTTGGAGGGAAAATTCTTAGCAATTTATCAAGTTGTGAACCTTGAATGGGCTAGCATTGGGAATAATAAGATGGTTGGGAAACTTCCGGGGGAGCTTGGATCTTTATTAAAGCTTCTTGGACTCTATGTATTTTTCAACAATCTGTCAAGAGAAGTGCCACCTTCCTTTGGCAATTTGTCATCTCTTGAGTGTTGGGGAGATTTAATTGAATACTAGCAAATCATAAATCCCTGAAAACGAAAATACTGCGAACAAAGGACAAAAAATAATAATAATAACCACACACATAAATATAAAATTTATAGTGGTTCACTCTCCGTATGAGAGCTACGTCCACTTTGTCGTTGTGAAATTTCACTATGAAGAAGAAAAAAAATTACAAGAACTCTCAAGCTTCACAAATTGGCTCACTCACTAAACCCTATTTGCTCTCACTCTCTAATTGTGGTTTTGCCTTCTATTCAATTTGTGATATCTAACTCTAGGACTCAACCTTTTTTTATAGGTAATACATGGGACACAATTTCTAATAGGACCCAAATCCCATATCCTGATAGGAACTATATTTTAATTTCTAATACAATTATAATCATATTTCCAATTGTATTCCTAAAAGAAAACAATTCTACATAAACACAAATTAGGAAAACCTATGTCCTAATCCAACTCTAATTTGAATTGAATTTGGCTCCACAATCTCAACAATCTCCCACTTGGAGACTAATTCAACATGTTTTCAATTCTTCACTTTCATCAACAACAACATCAGCTTCTCTTTCTTCAAGTGAGAAGTCCAACTGAAGTTGTGTAACACAACTTCAGTTTCTCAATGGCAACCACCTTCGTAAACATATCAGCTGGATTTTTACTCCCTTCAATTTTCTTGAGAGCTATAACTCTTTCTTCCAAAACTAAGCATGTGAAATGGTAACGAACTTCTATGTGTTGTCCTAACATGGTCGACTGGGTTCTTTGTCAGGTGAAGTGCACTTTGACTATCACAATACAAAGCACTTCTCTCATAATTCTGAACAAATTCTTCTAGGAATCATTGTAACCATATTAGCTCCTTACTAGCTTTTGTCATAGCAACATACTCTACCTCTGTAGTAGAAAGAGCAACAATCTTCTGTAACTTTGAAACCCAAATGACCGCTGTATCACCTATTGTAAAAACATAACATGTGGCACTCTTGTGATTATCAATGGCCCAGCCATACTAGCATCCATATAACCTTGTAACTCTAAGTCTGACTTCCTAAAGCATAATGTTGAATCTGTAGTACCTTTCAAATATTTAAGAATCCACTTCACTGCTTCCCAATGTTACTTTCCTAGATTGTTCATGTACCTACTCACAACTCCCACTGCGTGTGCTATGTTTGGGCTTGTACACACCATGGCAAGTATAAGACTACCAATCTCTGATGCATAGGGTACCTTCGCTATGTATCTCACTCATGCTCTGTTGTAGGTGACCGATCTTTGGATAGTTTAAAGTGACTAGCCAAAGGAGTACTTACTGGCTTTGCTCCATCCATGTTGAACCTGTTGAGTACTTTCTTCACATACTCTTCTTGTGATATCTTCAAGAAACCTTTGGCTCTATCTCTAGTAATCCTCACGCCAAGGATTTGTTTTGCAGCTCCCAAATCCTTCATAGCAAACTCCTTTGACAATTGCCTTTTTAGCTTGTCTATTTCCTGTTTACAAGCCCCTACAATCAACATGTCATCTACATATAGTAATAAGATGATATAAGAATTACTAAGTTTCTTGAAATAACAACAATGGTCTGCTTGGCATCTTAGGAAACCGTTGCTATCAAACTTCTTTACCACTGTCTAGGCGCCTGTTTTAGCCCATATAGGCTCTTTTAAAGTTTGCACACTATTCTCTCATTTCCTTGTAATTTAAAACCTTTGCAGCTGCTGCATATAAATTTCTTCATTCGGTTCTCTATGAAGAAATGTCGTCTTTACATCTAACTGCTCAAGATGAAGGTTTTTTTTTTTTGCCACTAACCCAAGTATTGTTCTTATTGTAGTCAACTTGACAACTTGAGAGAAAATTTCAGTGTAGTCAATGACTTCTTTCTGTTGAAATCCTTTCATGACCAGTCTTGCTTTATATCGTTTGCTGCCATCATGTTCATCTTTTACTTAATAAACCCAATTGTTTTGTAATGTCTTCTTCCCTTGTGATAGCTCTGTCAATTGTCAGGTTTAATTTGTTAATAATGAGTCCATCTCATCATTCATAGCTAGCTCCTGCTTGATTGAGTCATCAACTTGCATTGCTTCCTCGTAACACTCTGGTTCACCAACA